CTTCTACAAAAGAGTAAAAAGAAATCCACAGACTGGGGGCGGGGGTGGAAATTAGGAAATGACATATCTAACACAGATATTATATGTCTATACACAGATAGTGTACACAGAAAACCCTTTAAAATGTATTTAATACACCAGCACCTCAACAAGAAAAAGACAAACCACCGAATTACAAAACGGGTAGAAGATTTGAAATATTCTTCACTAAAGAACATATTCAGATGGCCAATAAACATGTGAAGAAATGCTCAAAATCTCTAGCTATTGTTGTTTACCGTTGAGTTGGAAATAACCCATAGGTGACCCTCTGTCAGGCTTACAAAGGCAACTCATTGCACGAGAAATTACCCATCTTTCTCCCATGGAGCAGCTGGTGGATTTGAACCACACGCCTTCAGGATTGCAGGCCAGCTTCTCACGACTAGGCAACCAGAACTCACCACTCTAGCTAATGTTTGCTATATGCCATCGAGTCACCTGTAAATCATAGCAACCCTGTGTACAACAGCTCTGAACCCTGTTCTATCTTGAGTCAATTTCATTCTCTCTGACACCCCTACACCCATCTCCCCAGTCATGGAGTCAATCCATCTCATCCAGGGTCTTCTTCTCTTGCACTGTCCCTCCACCCTTCCAAAGCATGATGTCCCTCTCCAAAATCTGATCTTTCCTGGAATCACACTCAAAGGATGTCAGACAGAGCTTCAGAATCCTTGCCTTTAAGGAGCATCCTGGTTTCACCCTCTCTAGGGTGAATCTGTTCTCTTAGCAGTCCATAGTACATGCAATACTCTTCTCCGATAGCATAACTCAATGTCATTGATTCTCCTATCCTGTCTAGTCATTGTCCAGCTTTCGGATAAATTGCAAGTCATTGCAAAGACTATGCCCTGGATCAGGTGGACTTTGGTCTGCAGACTGACATCATTGTTCTTTAGTACTCAGGAGAGGTCCATGACAGCAGACTTTCCCAGTGCAATTGGTCCTTTGATTTCCTGGCTGCGGGCACCAAAAGTGTTGATTGTGGAGCCAAACAAACTGAAGCTATTAACAATCTCAGTCTCTTCTCATGATGCTGCCAATTGGGCCAGTGGTGAAAAGTCTTGTTTTCTTGATGTTTAACTTCAATTCATACTGAAGGCTGTTGCAGTCCTTGACCTTCTGCAGCAAATGCTTCAGGTCCTCCTCAGTTTTGCCAAGCAAGGTTGCATAACGCAGGTTGTTGATGACTCTTCCTCCAATCCCGATGCCACATTCCTCCTCATAAAGTCCAGGCAGCTGGATGATCTGTTCCACATATAGATTGAAAACGTATGGAGATAGGATGCATCCCTGGTGTACTTCTTACCTTATTTGAACCATGCTGAGATTCTTTGCTCTGTTCTGATGACCTGATCCAAGCATAGGTTTTTCTGGGATTCCCATTCTTTTCAAAGTTAACTACAGTTTGCTGTGATCCACACAGTCAGATACCTTTGCAGAGTCAATGAAACACAGATAGACAGTCTTCTGGGTTTTAGAGAGATGCAGATGAAAACAAAAGTGAGATATCACCTCATTCTAGAAACAGCGGCAAAATTCAACAGGACAGTAAACAACAAATCCTGGCAATGATGCAGAGAGAAAGGTTACTTTATGCACTACTGGGTGGGAATGCAAAAGAGTACTGCCATTATGAAAGATAGTCTGGCATTTCCTCATCAAGTTGAAAATAGAAATGCCATACGATACAGCTATGCCACTACTGGGTATCTACCCTAAAGAAATAAGTGGTGACACAGCAGATGTACGCACACCCACGTTTTTATGCAGCGTCAATCACAACAGCAGAGAGACAGAAGCTGCCCGAGTGCCTATCAACCAATGAATAAATAAACTGTTGTACTTCGCACAGGAGTTATGCAGCATTGAAAACCAGTGTACCACTCGTGAAACACTACACAACATTGTTGCAGACTGAGGTTTACTTACGTCTTTTTATAATTATTAATAATGAGACAGATAGCCAGCGATGAGATAAAACAGAGCATAAAAACAAGGGGCCAGCAGTTCTCGACTGAAGGGCCGACCCAAGCTTCCCTGTAACTTTTTTGAAAATTATCAGGAAGTAAATCACAAAGACAATTCAATGCAAATGAAGCCAAGCTCTTTCTATTGAAAACCTTCTCTTTGACTCAGGAGGGAGGGGTCAGCAAATGCAAGGATCTGGTAAACCCTCAAGGCTTGCCTTAATGCTTCAGGGTGAATTCCATCCTGAAATAGCATTCAGTTTATTACAAATATTTCGTTTTGGTTTCCCATACAACATAGAGGATTACGCTGAGTGAAAGAACTCAGTCACAAAAGAATAAATACTGGACAAAACCACTGCTATAAAAACAGGATGGGTCTGGGAAGTGGGGTGGTGAGGTTGTTGTTTTGTTGTTGTTGTTGTTGTTATGTGCCGTTGAGTCACCTGCGACTCATAGTGACCCTATGTACAATAGCCCTAAACTCCGCTCTGTCTCTGACACTCCCATCCCGATTAACCCAGTCACTGAATCAATCCTCCTCATAGAAGGCCTTCCCCTCCTGCACTGTCCCACCACCCTCCCAAGCATGATGTCCCTCTCCAAGGACCGGTCTCTCCTCACAACATGTCCAAAGTATGTTAGACGGAGCCTCAGAATCCTTGCCTCCAAGGAGCCATCCGGTTTAACCCTTTCCAGAACAAATCTGTTTGTTTTCCTAGCAGTCCATGGTATTCTCAATTTTTTGGTGGTGAGGTAGTGGTGGAAAAAAACAGGAAAAGGATGGAGAGAGAATTCTAGTATCGAAATAGGTGAAGGAAAGGCCTATCTGAAATCAGTGGATAATTAGACACTATGTGTTACAATCAACAATCTGGGACAAGATTTATACTGTGGATTAAACGGAGGTGGGAGAAAAAAAATAATAATAAATCAGAGAAGCTGGGTGAAGGGAATAATAATATATAATAAGAATGTGTTCAGACACTGTGATCAAGTTAACTGCATCAACTAGTAATTATTGCCTATGAAGGATTGCTGGGGAAAAAAACTAATGGGATTTATAAAATTGCAATAAAATGAATTTTTTTAAATGAACCTGAGATTTGCAGATTACACCGCATAGCTCTCTGAGCGTGAAGGCTTTTTGAAGTATTTATTGACGGAGGTCAAAAACTATAGCCTTTAAATATGGATTATACCTCAATACAGAGAAAACAAGAATCATCATAATTGGATCCATTAACGACAAGATGTTGCCAAGGATTTAGTTTTGTTTGTATCCGCAATCAACATCCCTAAGAAGCACTCAAATCATTAAACCAGAGTGCATTGGATAAATCTGCTATTAAATATATCGAAAAAGCAAATTTGGATGAATTGTTGTTAGACGCCATCAAGTCGGATCTGGCTCACAGACCGGATCCCTGTCCTGTCTTGTTGGCACCACACAATCTTGGGCACATCCATTGCCGCAGTCACTGTGTCTGTCCACCTGGTCGAGGGTCTTCCTCTCCTTCACTGACCCTCCACCTTTCCAAGCATGATGTCCTTCTCCAAGGAACAGCCTTTCCTAGCAACATGCTCAAAGTACGTGAGACAAATTTTCACCATCCTTGCCTCCGAGGACCCTTCTGGCTGTGCCGTCTCCAAGACATAAAAGTATTCTTTTGACCGTCCGTTACTCTTCTCCAACACCACAGCTCAAAGGCATCAACTCTTCTCCTGTCATCCTTCTTCATTGTCCAACTCCCAACAGTATCGCAAGTGACTGATTGCAAAGACGATGGTCTGTATCAAGCGTGCCTTCGTCCTCAGAAAACATCACTGATCCTCAATAATTTTGAGAGTTAGGTATGCGTGAGCCAAGCTGTGTTTGTGTCAATCAGTCACCTGTATGAAAAAGGTGGAAATAAAAATGGAAGAAGAACGGTTACGTTTTCATTTTGGATGTCATTAAGGAGTAGTGAACACGTCATCGTTGTTGCTGTTCTTAGGTGCAAATGACCTTAAGAACAGCACATCTGAACCCTGTCCTAGTACGATGTGCCGTTCTTATCATGCCGGAGACATTGCAGCCCATGACTGCAGTCGTTATCTTAATCCATCTTTCTGAGGAGTTTAGTCTCCTTTGCTGACATTGCGCCAACCATGATGTCCCTCTCCAAGGAACAGCCTCTCCTATCAACACACCCAAAGTACATGAGGTGAAGTTTCACCCTCTTTGCCTCTAAAGAACACCCCAGCCACACCTTCTCTAAGACATACCTGTTTGTTCTTTTGGCGGTCCATGGGATGAGAATTCAGCCATCTTCTTCACCACCACAACTCAAAGACATCAATTCTTCTTCTACCATCCTTTTCTCATTGTCCAGTTCTTAGATGTATTATTGCTGCTGCTACTGCTGCTGTTGTTACATGCCATCCAGGCAACTAGAAAACAAGGCACACCTTAGTCTTTAACAGTTTAAAGGCTAAGAAAGACACTTCTGGAATACACCAGGGACTGTCAGAAAAGACACGAATCTGCCTTGGAGGAGATACAACTGGAATTCTACCTAGAACTGAAGAGAAAAAAGACTTTGCCTCGCTGACTTTTGACACATTTTCACAATGTTAACAGAATGTCTAGATTCTGAATAAATAAAAATAAAGAAAACGTAAAAGATCACAAAATAGAGTGAGTTCAAATGTAGCTGCTGCGTTTGCTAACTTGAGTCTCTTCCAAATCCCAAATACCATTTCTCACCCTCGTTATATGAGAAACTGTTGTTAAATATTTTATCTCATATGATGCAAAGAGCTTTGTCCTTGATGTGTTTACTACTGAATTTTATCTCTCATGAAACTGGGGGACAGGAAGGAAAAAAGTTTTCAGGACTTCTTTAATCTTCGAATACTTGTGGCATGCACAGGTAAGAAAGAGATAAGCAATTGGGGACCTATGTGACGCCAGATGTCCCCTTTTATCTGTCCACTTCTATGCAGTTATCTACGGATCATGGTTTGACCATATTCGTGACTGGCTCCAAATGCAAGGTAAAGAAAATTTCCTGGTAATATTCTATGAGGAGCTGAAGCAGGTAAGCAAAATGGTTCCTTTCTCAATCAGTTTCACAGTCGTGTCATTTTTCAGGCATTCTTCATTTTTCCATCTTCCATTTATATTATGCTGAAAATGAATACATTGCAACTTTTACTAATGAAATAATTTCTACGTGTATAATTTTCACTGATTACACTCTTCAACATATGCAAGCTTTGTTGCTATTATTTTTAATTTCACCACCTTTAATGTAAAGACTATGTCCTAAATTAATCCTTTGTTTCTTCTCCCTCTATTATCCATTATATCCACTAATAATTACTTTGTGATATATTAACACTGACAGTATTACACATATACGAATCGTGTAATTTTGATTTATTTGCAGCGGACTTATACCACTCACCACATGTGCTATCTTCTTTCATGTTGTGGAATAAATCAAGACCTTACGTGTCTTTTTGACTGAGTAGTATTCCATTGTACGTATTTATTATGTAGTGGGGGTTTTTTAAAAAATAAAATTTTCATTTTATACTGGTTTCCTTCATTTTTGTTTTTCAGTTGTGCTTTGCTTATTCAAGGTCTCTTTCTTCTCCAAATATATTTGACAAACTTTAATTCAGTCTCCTTGAAAAAGGAATTTGGTTTCTGTATCGGGATGGCTTTGAATTTGTAGATTGTTTTTGATAGGAATTGTCATTTTCACAATATTGAAGCTTCCTATTTATGAACAGGGAACATTTTGCCATTTAGGTAGGTCTTTAATTGTGCCTTGCAGAAATGTCCTGTAGTTTTCTTTGTACAGGTCGTTTCTGTCTATAGTTAGGTTCACTCCCAAGTATCTGATTTCTGAAGTGTTCTGCCCCCGTCACACTAGGTGATCAATGTGGTGTGTGTAGCCATTAGCTTCCTTCCTCCTTCTCATTTTTTCTAATGACCTTATTTTCTTTTCTCATCTTAACTTATTTTTATCCAGTTTTTCTCACTTTCCAGATTTGTACAACCAACTTGCTCTGTCCTTGTTCTTTTTTTGTTCCTTCTCCTCATCTTTATTCTTAACTGTGCTTGTGGATTTTATTTTCACATACTCTTTCTTGTGCTTTTTATTCTAGAACACAGCATCTACTGTTGAGAAGATTAGTCAATTCCTAGGCAAGCAACTAGGACCTGAGGAACTGAACTCAGTTTTAAAGAATATGTCTTTTGAGGTCATGAGCAGTAATAAAATGGCCAATTTTTCCATACTGCCAGAAGATATATTGGATCACAGCAAAGGACAATTGATGAGAAAAGGTAAGAGAGGGTTTTAGGACTATAAAATAGGAAATAAATGAGCAGCGGATAGCCCTGATTCCATAGATGCAATAACACAATATCCAAAGGAAGTATTGATCTTAAAAAAAATCACAAAGAGGTCATCATATCTTTGGAAGTTGAAGATTTGTGGAAAAGGAGCCCATCAGATGAATATCGTATCCCTCAGAGGCAATTCCCTAGCCCCTAACAAATTTCCGAGTGGCATTGATGATTAAGCATTCATTTACTGGCCATAATATTACCCATATGGACACACCCAGGAGCATCTTAAAGGGCAGGCCTGGTCATGTGCTTCCGAAAGCTCATAGCCTTGAAAACCTTGTGGAGGGAGCACAGCTACCATGTGACACAGAGGAGGGGACTGTGCACCCTGGCCACTGGGGAACTGCAACCAATGAACTTTCTTGATATCGTTCATCTCACAGATCCCTGTCGTACCGTCTTTTCAAATAGTTCCTCTCACCAACGGTGGCGTGGTCCCACCCATGTACAGTAGTAAGCCTCTCTCTGTCACTTTGATACCAGGAATGTTCACTGCTCCAAGGAAAAAGGTGAATATCATTTTTTCTGTAGTGATTAAAAGCAGAAGAGATACACATGACGTTCGTGTATGCTATTTCTCTCTCTAGTGTTATGACTTTTCTCTTTTTATTTATTGGTTTGCTTACAAGGTTTGTATACATTGTGTTTCATACAATCATTCTCACGCATTATTTTTTTCTAAAATAATCACATTGGACCTTGCCCATCATTACACTGTTGATAGATAGATAGATGATAGAAAGATAGATAGATAGATAGATAGATAGATAGATAGATAGATAGATAGATAGAGATGGAGAGACAGATGATACAGATACAATTTTTATTTTGTACTGGTTTACTTTCAAAGTTCATGATCAGTATTTTTCACACTGGATTTTTCTCTTTTTCCTTTCACCCATCAAATTGTATGACGCTATGATTAACCACCCCCGCCCATCCTCACCACTCTCGTCCCAATCTCCTCCCCTCTGATCTTCATACACATACCCCGTCTTTTCACCCTGATCCTTTTCATTCCCCATCCCCCGTACCCACCAGTGTGCAACCCAGTGGTTTGCCCTTACCCATCGTTACCCCTCCACTCCCACACCCTCCCCCTTGAGTTCCCATACAGATTTTACTAGATTTCCTTCTATTTTTACAATAATGGTCTTGTGTAGCATGCTGAGTGAATGAACTCAGTTTCATAAAAACAAATATTGCTTTACTTTTTAAAAAAAAATTACTGTTGCTGTTCTATCTCGCAATCTCGGAACATTTGTTATTTTGACAATCTTAACATATACAGTTTGGTGACACCTACTACGTTCATTCTATCTTATAACCATCACTGGTATCCATTCCCAATTTTTCACACCAAGTTTAACACACTCACTCATTCCCTCTGCTGTAGCGTCAGAACTGACTCTTAGCGGACCCTTCACTCGATTTCTGAGACTGGAAATGACGTCTTTCTCCTACAGATTCATTGTTGGTTCCCATCACCACTTCCGACAGTCTGCACCACTGACATTCCTTAACAGAAGCTCAGTGTCATCTGAACACTGTGAATTCCCTTCCCTCCATTCCCCTCCACTTCTGCTAACCACACATCAACGTTGTCCTCTATACACTTCCTATTCTAAATATCTCATATGGTCATAATCGTAGTATGTCTTTCATTGTTATTGATGTTGTTGTTAGGTGCTGTCAAGTCGGTACAACTTATAGCAGCTTTATGAACAGCTGCCGTGAATCCTGTTCTAGCCTGTGCCATCTTCATCATCTCTGACACATTAGACCCTATTACTGACGTTACCATGTCAATCCATCTTATCGGGGATTCTCCTCTTCTTTGCTGACCCTCCACATTTTCAAACACGATGTCCCTTTCCAAGGAATAGCCTCACCCAGCTACATGTCCATAATGTCACCTGCAGGGTGGAAATTATAAGACTCTAGTACCTGCTTTCCCTCACAATCAACATTCTTGACACCAGCAGCCAGAAAAACAAAAGACAAATTGCATTAGGAAAATTTGCCATCAGGGACCTCTCCAGAGTGCTAAAAAGCAGTGATGTCAGTCTAGAAACTAAGGTTCACTTGATCTAGTCTTTGCAATTACTTTCTGTGCATCAGAGAGCTGGACAATAACTAAAGATGACAGAAGAAGAATTGATGCCTTTGAGTTGTGTGGTCCTGGAGAAGACTATTCAACATACCATGGATCCCTAAAAGAACAAACAGATCTGTCCTGGAGAAGGTGAAACCAAGTTATTCCTTGGAAGCAAGGATTTTGAAGCTCCATCTCACAGACTTTGAGCATGTTTCCAGGAGGGACCAGTCCTTGCAGAAGGACATTATGCTTGGAAAAGTGGAGGAACAGTGAAGAAAAGGAAGACCCTGGATGATACGGTTTGACACAGTAGCTGGGCTAACGAGGATAGGTGTGTCAGAGTCCATAAGACTGGCTCAGGACAGAGTAAGTTTCAACATGATTGTGCAGAGGGCTGCTATGAGCCACAGGTGACTCGACAGCACATCACAACAACAACAGTGCCTAATTTCATCTTTGATAAAGTTCCAAATAAAGAATTGATTTGAAAAATATAAAGTAACATACACGTATAAGAATCACCTGTATCATTTTCTGTCCCACGGTATCACTAAGAGTCACGTGTTTGAAATAGCCCTGTGGACAGATAGCAAACTTAACCCTCAAAGAGATTAACATCCGGAAGCTTGGTGTTAGAATTAATGGCAGTTTTACTCCTCAAAGAAGATTCTATTTTGCTGTGGTGGTTTGTTGCCACCCAGTCAACCATGACTCACACAGTTTCACGTAAAACACAATGAAATGCTGCCTTATTCTGTGCCATCGTTATTATCTGTTGGTTTTTTTTAATTTTTTTTATTATTATTTTTGTGTGAGTGTACGGTCAAATCAGATGTGACTGGTACAGGAGGAGATTGTCCCTCCTTCCCCGGCAGAGCATCTGGTGGATTCGAACCGTGCGCCTCTGGGATTGTAGTTGCAGTTCCTTGCCACTAGGCCACCAGAGCTCCCCATTATCTGTTATGTTTGAATTAATTGTTACAGCTATTGTGTCAATGCATCTCATAAGAGTTTCCTTTCTTTAGTGACATTCCATTTTACCAAACACGATCTACTCTCCTAATGAGTGATCCTTCTTGATGAGACACCAACAGAATTGAGTCTAGGTGCCTGAAATTCACAGCTCAGCACTTAGGAAAGGAAAGTGGAAGGGACAGTTAATGGAAAAGCTAAAATGAGGGGTTGAGATACCATTTCTAATTATTATCTGCTCTTATTTTTTTGCATTTCATAGGAGTCACTGGGGACTGGAAATGTCATTTCACGGTGGCACAGAATGAAGCTTTTGATAAGGTTTACCAGGAGAAGATGGCAAACTTTCCTCCAGGAAGCTTCCCTTGGGAGAAATGATCCAATATTTCTGAATCTGCAAAGAATATCGAGTCTTTGGCTGCTCTTATGCACGTTTCTCCTTAGATAGAGCAGTGGGCCACGGTATCCTGGGGCTTTACCTCAATATTGCAATCATACATTTGATAATTGAAAACTTCTAGATACTGTATTCCATTTTTAAAAATGGAGCAGTATTTGATTCATACAGAAGTAACATTTTAACATTCATGTGATTTTTATGTGGGTTAAGAGATGAAAGAAACTGGTTCGACCCCAGGTCTCGGCACCAAAAAAAAACAACCACAAAAAAAAGAAATGAAAGAAACTGCTTCACCATGCATGACTGAATTAATTTACTAAAGCACGAGGTGAGGTGTGGTGTTGCGTACATGGGTTCCGCTTCTTCTGTAAAGATTGCCATTGTACTTCTAACTCTATGTCTCAAAATTAATGATGATTCTTATTTAGGAAGTCCATTTCTGTAGTGGGAAAGGTTAATTCTTTGTCCAGAACTCAAATCCGTGCACCTATGTTCCAGGTAGAGACCCTTGGTGGTGCAAATTATTAAATGATTGACTAATAAAAGAAAATGTGTTTATATCCCACTACGCGCGCACACACACACACACACACACACACACACTAAAACAACCAAACAACAACACAAAAACCCAAAAAAGAAAATTTAGTGCTTCAGGCAGGCACATCCCGAGACAGTTTGATAACAGGTCTGGTGATCTATTGCTAAAACAAACTACAACCTTGGAAATCCTACAGATCAGTTCTATAACGACCTCCATATGTCAGAGACTGCTTGGCAGCAACCTTCAGCATCTTCAGTAAATCAATATTTACCAATAAAATGAATATTCACTCTACTTTGACCAACTTTTTTTATGCATTTCAGTGTTAATAATCATGCAAACACAAAATAATCTCTGTTTTTATTATAAATTTTTAAATTTATATTAGTTTCCTGACAAATTTCATATCCATGGTGTTTCGCTGAAGGATTCATGAAGGGTTAATGGCTGGATTGAGGAGTCTGCCATACAAGGAAATGTCCCAGAAACAGTGAGACATTTGAATGTGAGGGACCCTTAGGTGGTTGGGGTTGCAAACGGTTCTGACTTTGTTCCAGGAATTGCACCACGTCAGCTCTCCTTAATGAACTCTTTTGCCCCTAATGGGTTAAGCTTTCTGAGAAAAGTTCTGAAGGCTATGGAATGTCTCCAAGTACATCCCCTGGAATACTTTGAGTCAACAGTCTTTTTATCAGATTTAGTTAACCATTGCATTTGCAAGTCAAAATAGAGTGAGAGAACACAGAGTCTCTGGTAGTTTAAAATAACTTGCTCCAGCCAAAATATTTTTCTGTTTCTCTTTACCTTGAAGGATGTGTTGTGCACCTCAGCACCACGAAAAATGTGTACATGAGCTTCCGCATATTCCGCTCTTTGTGCTTTACAATAAATACGAGATCCAGCTCTACACGGGTGCTGCTAGCCTACCAGAGCTCAGCCCTTCATTGCCATATCTCTAGTGAGTCTCTGCCTTCAGTGACCAGCAAACCCAGAACACTGGGTACAACACCATTCTTTATCCACAGTGTGTTTCATACAGTCATTCCCATATATTATGTTTTATAAAATTAATCACCATTGATCTACACCCACCATTCCCTCGCCTTTTTAGGTCCTGCTGGATCTTTCCCATTTCTTTCACACCCTCACTCCACTCATCAAATTCTGCAACCCTATGATTTCTCTCCTGCTTGTCTTCAACCCCCCTGTTCAGCCCTCCCTCCCCACTTGGATCTTAATACACATTTTACTGGTTATCCTTCGATTTTTATAATAATGGAATGGTCTTATGTAGTATTTGTCCTTATGAGACCAAGTTACTTCACTCGGTATAATGCTCTCTAGTCTCTCCCATGTTATATAATATTTTTCTAAATCAGTGCTCCTGTGTACTGCATAGTATTCCACCATGTGAATATACCACAACTTCTCAATCCATTCAATTGTTGGTAGATATTTGGGCTGTTCCCATGTTCTTGCAACTGCGAATAACGCTGCTATGAACATCTGTGTACAAATCTCTGTTTGTGTCTCAGTTCTATATTCCTCAAGGTCTATTTCTAGCAGTGGAACAGCTGGATCATATGCAATTTCCATGTTCAGCTTTTTAAGGAAACACCAAACGGCCTTCCAGAGTGGTTGTATCATTTTACAATCTGACCAGCAGTGTGTGAGAGTTCCAATCTCTCCACATCCTCTCCACCATTTATTGCTTATGGTCCTGTTAAACTTTGCCACTGCTACTGAGGTGAGAAAGTATTTCATTGTGGTTTTGATTTGCATTGCTCTTATTGCCCATGATTTTGAACATTTCTTCACGTGTTTGTTGGTCATCACATGTCTTCCTCTGTGAAAAGTCTCTCCATGTCTTTTTCCCATTTTGTAATTGGATTATCAGTCTTTTTTCTTCTGGAGGCCCTGTAAGATTCTATAAACTTTTGCTATGAGACCCCTGTCCGAGATGGCACTGACAACTGTTTTTTCCTAGTCGGTAGGGTTTCTTTTCACCCTACTGGAAAAAGTTTTGTATGCATACAGGAATTTAATCTTTAAGAGGTCCCATTTATCATTTTTTATCCTCTTCTGGTTGTCTGTATATCACAGGTTAGGCCTTCTAAGTTTGGACCCATTTTGTCTCTTATTATCCTTATAGTTTTGAGCTTTACATTTAGGTCTCTGGCCCACCTTGAGTTGATTTTGTGCGTGGTATGAAATGTGGATCCTACTTCATTCAGATAAAAGTCCAGCTTTGCCAGCATCCTTTGCTAAAGAAGTTGTCATTTCCCCATTTGATAAGTTTTGTTTCCTTGTCGAGTACTAGTTGACTATTGTTGTTTTTCATTGCCTTGAGTCGAGCATGACTCATAGCAACCCAATGAACAAAAAGCCTGAAGCCTTTCTATAACTATTGACATTTATCAAAGTTCATAGATTTTCCAGAGGCATGTTCTTTAGGAAGTGGATGTCACTCCTGCTTCCAGACCTGTCATAGAATGTTATTGGTTGAATTGCCTCTGATACATAGCAACTCTATGTACAGCAGCTCTGAAGCCTTTCCCATCCTGAGCCAGTCTCACTAATTCTGACACACCAACTCCCACCACCCCAATCACTGTATCAATCCATCTCATCAGGGGTCTCCCTCTCCTGTGCCGTCCATCCACCCTTCTGAGCATAATGTCCTTCTCCAAGGACTATAGATGACTATGGTTGACAGGTAGGTAATTTCTGAGTTCTCAGTTCAGTTTTATCTGACAAAATCAGAGACCGGAACTCTTGTGCTCTGCTGGTGGAATTGTAAAATTGCCACAACAACTCTAGAAGACAGTTGCTATTTCCTCAAAAAGCTGAACGTAGACATCCCCTATGACCCAGCTATTCTACTGCTAGGAATATACCCCAAGGAAATTAGAACGGAGACATGAATGGACATATATACACCTATATTCACAGCAGCATTATTCACAATAGCAAGAAAAAGGAAAAGCCCAAACATTCATCAACCTTAAATTATGGTATATTCACACAATGTTATACTTTGCAACACCAAGGAGCAACAATTTCATAAAATGACATACAAGCATGAGAGACTCTAGAGAGCATTACGCTGAATGAAATAACTCATTCTAGAAGGACAGATATTGTATAAGATCATGATTATACAAATTGAAGGATATTGGAATAAAATGAATACTAATATTTAAAATGGAAAGTAGTAGAAAAAGAAGAAGGGTGGAAATCACTAGAATAACAGAGGTTATCGGGTGAATGAGGGGATGAAGGAATAGAAAAGATTCCATGTGGACTCCAAAGAATAGTAATAGGCATAGATCTATAGTAATTAATTAGATAAAACACAATGTATGTGAATGATTGTATGAAAACACAATGAAAGATTGCATAAATCACAATGCACGTGAATGGAACACCATGCATATGAAATATTGCATGCAAACTAACTTTTAACAAAGCTAAGGAGACATTTACACATGACAGAGTCTGTTTTTCATGATTTTTACATGTACTCTATGGTAGGATTGATTCATAATTGGGTCAGTTACCAGCTGAATCATCCCGGAAAATGTTGCAAGAGACAGCAAATGTTGTAGCTACAGGTTAGCAAGGAAGGACATCTTGGTTTCTAAATCCGCTGACTGTTGAAATGTTGTTGACATTGCTTTGCTTTTCCTCTTGTTTATTGACCTTCTGCATCCCCGCCCCCTTGCAATTACATCCATGCGCTCCAGAAAGTTCACTGTTAGCCAATTATTGTCCAATCTCAATACACTTTCAAATATTTACAGTTGTAAACTTTGGCCTCTAACAGGAGTTCTTCTGCCTCAATCTCTTTATCATCTGAACTCTGACTTTGTTTTATTGAATTTTTTTACTATAACCACACTAGCAAGCTGAGACTCTGCTGTGAGGGTTGGGAAGACTAGAACAGAACGATCAAACCCGAAAGGTGACGGTTTGGGTGATATGTGATTCTTTACGGTTGCGAGGCATTCCTTTCTGCAAGGTAGGCTTATGATGGAAGAGCTGAGGTCTAGTAGGGACTAGTTTTCAGTGACAGATGGGCCCATCGCTGCACTCTCTTCCTCAGAGTCAGACAAGAAGTTAGTATCTAAAATTATGGAAGGCTATAGTTTGCTCGGCTCCACAGTCAACACTCTTGGCA